GACAAGCAGAAAGAAAAACTCATTGGTTTGAGACAATAAAGAGTCAGATGTCTAAGTGACAAATTTTATTTGCACAGTCAAAACATCTAAGGGACGAAAGTTAATTGTTAGACTGGGTTGTCTAAGTAACTAAAAGTAACCAAAGTGTTAAAGTTTGTCTTCGTGACGGAGATAAATTAAAGTTGATTTCGTCTAGGTGACGAAAGTTGAATTTATTGATGTGATGTGAGTTTTTCGAAAAATGAAAAAAATGATACAAGTTGTTGACTTATCTAAGTGACGATTGTATACCGATATGATGATAAATTGTGTTGTGTTGTCGCCTAGGTGGCAGGATAATTATCTCTGTGTGAAATAGTAGAGCAACGAAACAGGATATCAAGAATTAGTTATGGAATCGCTAATATTAAATTTCACTAATAAACAAGGATGTCACATTATCTTCTTTGCTTTATTTCTGAAATCTTGAATGAGAACTCAATGAATAATTTTTTTGAAATCTTTTTAGGTAAATTTGTATACAAGCTTGCAGTCCACTGCTAAAACTAGAAGTCCAGTCAAAAATTGTCAGGAGAGGCTCGTCTCAGTTTCTTGTTTTTTTAAAGAAAAACTTTTTGGGCTATACATGATGTAAATATTTTTTGTTTTCCCCCTTTTGGGCATATAAGCAACAATTGTAAATATTTTTTTTGGGTTATGTATATATTATATGGTAGCGGGCCGGTATGCGGCGCATGTAAGACTTTTATTTTAAAAACATTTATTTAAAATAAATATTTTCAAGATGAGTTTTCTTTTAATACAAAGTTGTTAATTAAGAGCGGGATTGCCAAAATTTATCACTATATATAAATTTTTATTTATTTTTTAATAATACTGTAGTGGGAATTAGGGTGTTCATATATTCTAATTTTGAAGACATTAATTCACGCATTAAAACTTAGATAACATTAACCGTTCATGTAAGCTCGCTTTCTTCCTTCATCAGTTATAAATGGACTCTAAAAAAATATTTATTTTTCATAGTGTTCGTTGGTGGGGGTAGAGAATAAATTTTTGATTGTTTAGCTAAAATTAAAAAATATCTATCATGAAAAAACTAAAAACAACACTTTCTATTCTCCACTTTAACACAAACATTTTAACGTTATTTGACGTGTCACTCTAAGAATAAACAAAACATAAAACACCTATTTGACCAATTGCCTAAATTATCTTATCACTGATAACTTATACCGTGAGCCATTGAGCAAGACTATGAATATAAACGTATGAACAATAGTGGAGAAAAAGAGCTCTATTGGCCGTCATTATACTGATACATATAGTGCAAAAATTTTGAATTACTTCAGAACTAGAGGTATGGCATAAGGAGGCATGAGAAGTGGCTTCTTCAATGGAAGAACCTGACCCAATGAGCAGCATAGAGACAATATAGTCCTCACCTAATGAAGTCATTCCTTATGTTCAAGGTCTTGCAGATCTTCTCCAGAATATTCCTCATAATCAAGTTAGCCACTACTAAACATATCCGATCTAGCTGCAGGCTCCAAATTTTTAGATGGTTTTTCGGCCTTGCAACCACCCATCAAAAAAATATGCTATAGGTAGATACAGAGAACATTAAATGAATGACAAAGAGACAATTAAAATTCCATCAGGCATTGCCCACCATTTGAACACCACCAAATGCCACCTACACCTTTTTACATGGCAAACATAAGCATGTGAAAAAATAATAATAAGCCCCAAAATCATATTGGATTAACAAAGAACATGACCAAGACAAACAAAAAACACAATAAAGATTGGCGCACTTCCACCAAAAGCTTCAGGTTTTTTTTTTGAGTAGTGCTATTGAAACTTAAAAAATTGATCTAATTGTTAACCTTATGATGTGTCAGATGATACTGTTCCAATGAAGAAGTCTAACCGTTATAGTTACAATAATTCTATTGGACCGTGTCACTATCACCTCATTAGGACAGTGAATTAGGTCTAATTTTTAAGTTTCAATGAAATTAATGTTTTTTTATAAAAAAAAAAACAAAAAAAATTCATTATATGAAGATAAAAGTATAAATTAGTAAACAGGAAATCCAACCATAAGTATAATAAGTAAAATCAAAAAATCAAAACAATAAGCCAAAACCACAATAAGGTAAAACCTTCTTGTTTCAAAACAGTATTCCTATCCACAATCATCCCATCAACTGTCCAAAAACAGTCGTCGCAGATCCATATTAGTAGGAATAAACTCAAACAAAGCTAAATCAAATAAACCCAAACTCTTAATCAAAATTTTCAAGCATTTCGAAAATATTCATTCAACTAATTTACAATTCACTACAGTTTTGCAAAAAGCATAATTCTTGAACAACATGCAACTTTACATTTATATCACAATTTTTATCACATAGAGCAGAACAATATATACTAATATCAAATTCCTCATGAAATATTTACCATGCCTAACAACTACACAATTTAACACCCACATTCCCCTTGTCCAAATACCGTAGAAATTATGGATACCATCTTAAAATTGATACAGCTCTACAGAGCTTTATCCCAACTATTGGGGGGTCTGCTAACTATATTAAAACAGATAAACAAACAAAACAACTTAACCCATAAAGCACAAAGAACCATCAAAATTGAAAAAGATCCACTCATAATCTTTTTATCTTTCGCAAAATCAATCCTACATTCCTCGAGAAAATTTCACAACCTGGACTTGAGGAGTGGGTTCATTCCCAATCAGCAACTGACAACACAGTCCCACAAACTAAAACCATAACATTAAGAAACAACCATTAAGAATAGGACAGTATGCCCATCATTATGAATTTCCAATTTTTTTTTTTGTCAAATCTATAGGTTGTGCTGCTGCTTCGAGGTATATAAAGGTTTGTTGTTGATGTTTGATTTTGGTATTATACTTGTTTGGGAAGGCAGGTTATCTGTCAACAGTAACAGGATTACTTATTTTGTTGCAAGAGCTACACCTTGGAATAATACTTTTAAATTGTTGAGTATGGACTGATGACTTGGTTGATACTATCAAATTTTGGCCATATGAATATCACTCATAACTTCACCACTTAAAGGGTAGAACCAAAAGTTCCTTATTTTTTAGACTTCATCTTTTTCTTACTTTATATTGCAGATCGTGTAGACTTCCTATTGTGATTGAAATCATAGTATTTTACATTGGCCAGACTAATCCCATGTGTTTTGCAGTAGTTGAGAACCATAATTGCAAAGAAAGAAATAGCAATTGTGTTCACATTACTTAAAATGTCACTCACACTCTCAAATTCGCAAACACAGTGATGTCATCTAAATGACCCCTAGGCATAAGAAATTAAAAACATCTTAATAGCACCTGGTATATACCCCACTATTTTAAACAATTTAATTTCCGTCTCACCTAGACGTTGATATATATATATATATATATATTGCTTCCTCACTCACATTCTCGTTCACACCTAAATTATTGCTAGATTTGATTTAGCTTTTTAGCAACCAAAAGGAAAAAAATGAATGCTTCCTTACAGGCACAATAAACAAGCAAATACATCATAAAGTTTGAAGACTTAAAGCACGCATGCACAGGCGCACGCACACACACATATGCTTCCATGACTCTTCTTGAGTTTTACAAATTTCTAACTACCTACATAGACACTAAAAAAGCATATTGGATGCATCATAAATACCATAAACACATGTTTATGTACACTCACAACATCACAATCATTATAATAGTGCACTCAAATACCACATTATAGGCAAGTTTCCTATGAGGAGAATTTATAGATGGTGACATACTATTTACATGATGCCAATTTTAAGAATACATATTATGATATATGATGGTGTGTAGAATGCAACAGAGCAAAATTAGTGTGTTATGGGGTTTTATCTAAGCTACAAGGGCCTCGAGAAAAATGAAGCTATTGCCCGTTAAAAGAGTAGATTGCTCAAAAGATTTATAGTGGTTCACCAGTTCGGGAGCTTGACTAATCTACTCTTCAAGGGAGTCTCTTACTCCTAGGAATTATATTAAAGATGATGAAGAGATTACATAGTTCTTAGGGCTATATCGATTGCTTGCCTCAAAGTGAGGATTTTATATAGTATTTATAGTTTAATTCCTAGTTCCATGGAGTCTGGGGAGAGATCTTCGCATCTCTTTTGTAATGTTTTGCTTGATTTCAGGCGTTGGTTTAGGCGGTTGAGGTTCTTGCGTTTAGACTGTCGTTTACTGCCGTTGAGAAGATGTTTAGTGGTTGCCAATTGGTTTCTAATCCTGTTCGTTGAGGTGTAGACCTTGAGGGAGCGCAAGGTCTGAACCTTTGAGCTTGAGCTTCCCTGAAAACTCGAGCTTTCTTGGCTGAGCCCCCTTCCCGACCCCAATGGTCGAGCTCAAACTTGAAATTTTTTTATGTATCATCAGTTTAGATTATAATTAGCATCCCCACCTTCCATATCACCATCGACCAATAACAACCTATGTAACACAATAAGCAACCAGAAAATCATTTTTCCAACGGTGAATGAGTAAAAAAAAAATAGAGAAAATTTTTAAAAATATCAAACACAAATAATTTGTCAAGTACTTTTCCATTTTTCTGAATCGTAACATTAACAAGAAGATTAAAGATTAAAAGACATATCTCAACCTTTTCTTTAATTAGGAAGAAGAGGTGGCTCATACCTATTTTCATTTAGTCATTAAGAGAGTGTTTGGCGTGACTTAAATAAAAGTTTTTGTGACTTTTACTTATTATAAGCACTATAACAAAAATAAAGTAGTGTTTGGATTTACTTATTTAAAATACTTTAAATAAGTTAAAAGTAATTTTATCACTTAATTAAGTTGATAAGTAAAAGTTAAAAAAAAGGTTTTTACTTTCACAAAAACACTTCTTCTACCCGTGCCCGATCATCTCTATCAAAGAAATCTCCCAGCTCTCATCGGTGTTCTTCCATCTCTCCGACTATCGTCGACAAGGTAAATTTTTACTTATCATTGCCCGAAACGCCGTCGTTCAGGCTGGATCCAAGCTTCTCGATGTCCATGAAGTGGAGAAGAGATCGACCTCCGATCCCATCTCTTCGAAACTCTCCGAAGGCGCATCAAAGGGGTCCGACACCAGATCTAGGTCCTCCGATAGCCTGAAGTTCACCTCTGAGTGAGCTCGCCGGTGGTGACTCGGCCTGAACGACGCCGTTGGATTTGTTTGCTGTGAGCTCAGATTCGATGGATCTTCCATTTCAGTCTTCAGTGTGTGAGTTGAGTGAGTGAGGTTTGTCTATGGCTGTCTTTGTTTGTCTTCCATATCGTCGAGAGGGGAGAGAGTGAACGGTGGTTTGACTCGTGATATCATAGAGAGAGAATTAAGAATATTTATTTTTTACCCCCTCAAAGATTGGATTTTATGCATTTTACCTATTTTTGTTAATCTCAATACATTAATTTAAGTACTTTAAATTTTGAATATTCAAACAATATTTATTTAATAAAAGTGTTTTTCTTATAAACATTTTTGATAAATATTTATTTAAAAAGTATTTTTTGAATTTCATAAGTCATTCCAAACGTGCCCTAATTACTGCAAATGTACTCAAGTTGTTACCTGAAACAAAGCATGAAAGCTTGACAATCTTGATTGCGGGATATGTCAAAAAGGTAGCAATGTTTTTTGGAAATTACAATTAACACAAACAAGGCGCCAAACTTCGAGGGTTGATCCATGCTCCGCATTTCTTTACTTCAACTTTTGAAGTGTTTTTTGAGTTGACCAAAAATAGCTCACTAAAATCTATCAAAACATATAGCATCAACTAAATGTTCTCCATTTAATGGCAAATATTCAATGAATAGAAGCACAACCCATTCATCATTTACTCATTAAGATTAATACTATGTCTTGTTTATCCTTTTGATAAAATGTCTCAATTTAAACATTAAATTATGATGTACAGGATTGTAAAATAGAGAATTTAGAAAGCCACTAATACCAGGAATAAAACTATAAAGAAAGAAGAAGAAAATTGATTAAGAAAAATTAGAACTTAGAGAAAGCAACTTGCTATAGAGGTCTAACACTTCTTATCAAACAAGCCAACAAAGTAAAATTTCCAGAATATATTACGGAACATAGAGAATATACACATCATACAAGTATTTCTAAGCATTTTTTTTCCTAATTTCTAAGAATTAGCCAGCAAATAATTTGCAGCAGTAGGTTGTCTACTGCCAAAAACAGCACATCAACTTAAATCTTCTAGCCTCTTGCATCTTCAACACCAGCCTGCACATAAAAACAACACGTATGATACTCATACCCATGTACTAATAGGGACTGGCAAGATTAAGTGGGTTCTTCATGAAATTCAATATTGCACATTGTAAAATCATATAGGCTTTTGTACGTAAAAAAAATAGATCAAATAAAAAAGCAACATCATATGCCCGCAACAAGTCACACAAACCGCTTCCCAAAAAACATCAAGAAATAATATCCAAATGAAAATTAACCAACAAAAAGCAAATTTTCCATAAATACTCAATTGATAACATTCGG